ACGGCTGTCCAGTACTCCCAGGTTTTCCAGTGGTTCTCTAACTGATGTCAGCTCATGATTAAATCCTCCATGCAATCAAAACAAAATCCCTACAAAAACCAATACTTGAAAATTCATCTGATGCTCACTAGTGACTGGCCCTATTCAGGCAGTTAACCTGGGGTTCTAGTGGGAAGCCGTGACCAGTAGGGTACAGCAGGTCGAAGATGAGGCAGTAACTCATCGAAGAAGACATTGCGAAGTGGTCGCGCTATGTCGTGAACTGGCAGAAGTTAGAATTCAAGGACCATTGGATCGGGTCCCAGTGGCTCAATGGTCTACGAGCTCGCCTTGTAACCAGAAGGTCCTGGGTTCGAATCCCGGTGGGTGCGTACTGCTGAGGAGTCCCAAACTAGGACGAAACGGCTGTCCAGTACTCCCAGGTTTTCCAGTGGTTCTCTAACTGATGTCAGCTCATGATTAAATCCTCCATGCAATCAAAACAAAATCCCTACAAAAACCAATACTTGAAAATTCATCTGATGCTCACTAGTGACTGGCCCTATTCAGGCAGTTAACCTGGGGTTCTAGTGGGAAGCCGTGACCAGTAGGGTACAGCAGGTCGAAGATGAGGCAGTAACTCATCGAAGAAGACATTGCGAAGTGGTCGCGCTATGTCGTGAACTGGCAGAAGTTAGAATTCAAGGACCATTGGATCGGGTCCCAGTGGCTCAATGGTCTACGAGCTCGCCTTGTAACCAGAAGGTCCTGGGTTCGAATCCCGGTGGGTGCGTACTGCTGAGGAGTCCCAAACTAGGACGAAACGGCTGTCCAGTACTCCCAGGTTTTCCAGTGGTTCTCTAACTGATGTCAGCTCATGATTAAATCCTCCATGCAATCAAAACAAAATCCCTACAAAAACCAATACTTGAAAATTCATCTGATGCTCACTAGTGACTGGCCCTATTCAGGCAGTTAACCTGGGGTTCTAGTGGGAAGCCGTGACCAGTAGGGTACAGCAGGTCGAAGATGAGGCAGTAACTCATCGAAGAAGACATTGCGAAGTGGTCGCGCTATGTCGTGAACTGGCAGAAGTTAGAATTCAAGGACCATTGGATCGGGTCCCAGTGGCTCAATGGTCTACGAGCTCGCCTTGTAACCAGAAGGTCCTGGGTTCGAATCCCGGTGGGTGCGTACTGCTGAGGAGTCCCAAACTAGGACGAAACGGCTGTCCAGTACTCCCAGGTTTTCCAGTGGTTCTCTAACTGATGTCAGCTCATGATTAAATCCTCCATGCAATCAAAACAAAATCCCTACAAAAACCAATACTTGAAAATTCATCTGATGCTCACTAGTGACTGGCCCTATTCAGGCAGTTAACCTGGGGTTCTAGTGGGAAGCCGTGACCAGTAGGGTACAGCAGGTCGAAGATGAGGCAGTAACTCATCGAAGAAGACATTGCGAAGTGGTCGCGCTATGTCGTGAACTGGCAGAAGTTAGAATTCAAGGACCATTGGATCGGGTCCCAGTGGCTCAATGGTCTACGAGCTCACCTTGTAACCAGAAGGTCCTGGGTTCGAATCCCGGTGGGTGCGTACTGCTGAGGAGTCCCAAACTAGGACGAAACGGCTGTCCAGTACTCCCAGGTTTTCCAGTGGTTCTCTAACTGATGTCAGCTCATGATTAAATCCTCCATGCAATCAAAACAAAATCCCTACAAAAACCAATACTTGAAAATTCATCTGATGCTCACTAGTGACTGGCCCTATTCAGGCAGTTAACCTGGGGTTCTAGTGGGAAGCCGTGACCAGTAGGGTACAGCAGGTCGAAGATGAGGCAGTAACTCATCGAAGAAGACATTGCGAAGTGGTCGCGCTATGTCGTGAACTGGCAGAAGTTAGAATTCAAGGACCATTGGATCGGGTCCCAGTGGCTCAATGGTCTACGAGCTCGCCTTGTAACCAGAAGGTCCTGGGTTCGAATCCCGGTGGGTGCGTACTGCTGAGGAGTCCCAAACTAGGACGAAACGGCTGTCCAGTACTCCCAGGTTTTCCAGTGGTTCTCTAACTGATGTCAGCTCATGATTAAATCCTCCATGCAATCAAAACAAAATCCCTACAAAAACCAATACTTGAAAATTCATCTGATGCTCACTAGTGACTGGCCCTATTCAGGCAGTTAACCTGGGGTTCTAGTGGGAAGCCGTGACCAGTAGGGTACAGCAGGTCGAAGATGAGGCAGTAACTCATCGAAGAAGACATTGCGAAGTGGTCGCGCTATGTCGTGAACTGGCAGAAGTTAGAATTCAAGGACCATTGGATCGGGTCCCAGTGGCTCAATGGTCTACGAGCTCGCCTTGTAACCAGAAGGTCCTGGGTTCGAATCCCGGTGGGTGCGTACTGCTGAGGAGTCCCAAACTAGGACGAAACGGCTGTCCAGTACTCCCAGGTTTTCCAGTGGTTCTCTAACTGATGTCAGCTCATGATTAAATCCTCCATGCAATCAAAACAAAATCCCTACAAAAACCAATACTTGAAAATTCATCTGATGCTCACTAGTGACTGGCCCTATTCAGGCAGTTAGCCTGGGGTTCTAGTGGGAAGCCGTGACCAGTAGGGTACAGCAGGTCGAAGATGAGGCAGTAACTCATCGAAGAAGACATTGCGAAGTGGTCGCGCTATGTCGTGAACTGGCAGAAGTTAGAATTCAAGGACCATTGGATCGGGTCCCAGTGGCTCAATGGTCTACGAGCTCGCCTTGTAACCAGAAGGTCCTGGGTTCGAATCCCGGTGGGTGCGTACTGCTGAGGAGTCCCAAACTAGGACGAAACGGCTGTCCAGTACTCCCAGGTTTTCCAGTGGTTCTCTAACTGATGTCAGCTCATGATTAAATCCTCCATGCAATCAAAACAAAATCCCTACAAAAACCAATACTTGAAAATTCATCTGATGCTCACTAGTGACTGGCCCTATTCAGGCAGTTAACCTGGGGTTCTAGTGGGAAGCCGTGACCAGTAGGGTACAGCAGGTCGAAGATGAGGCAGTAACTCATCGAAGAAGACATTGCGAAGTGGTCGCGCTATGTCGTGAACTGGCAGAAGTTAGAATTCAAGGACCATTGGATCGGGTCCCAGTGGCTCAATGGTCTACGAGCTCGCCTTGTAACCAGAAGGTCCTGGGTTCGAATCCCGGTGGGTGCGTACTGCTGAGGAGTCCCAAACTAGGACGAAACGGCTGTCCAGTACTCCCAGGTTTTCCAGTGGTTCTCTAACTGATGTCAGCTCATGATTAAATCCTCCATGCAATCAAAACAAAATCCCTACAAAAACCAATACTTGAAAATTCATCTGATGCTCACTAGTGACTGGCCCTATTCAGGCAGTTAACCTGGGGTTCTAGTGGGAAGCCGTGACCAGTAGGGTACAGCAGGTCGAAGATGAGGCAGTAACTCATCGAAGAAGACATTGCGAAGTGGTCGCGCTATGTCGTGAACTGGCAGAAGTTAGAATTCAAGGACCATTGGATCGGGTCCCAGTGGCTCAATGGTCTACGAGCTCGCCTTGTAACCAGAAGGTCCTGGGTTCGAATCCCGGTGGGTGCGTACTGCTGAGGAGTCCCAAACTAGGACGAAACGGCTGTCCAGTACTCCCAGGTTTTCCAGTGGTTCTCTAACTGATGTCAGCTCATGATTAAATCCTCCATGCAATCAAAACAAAATCCCTACAAAAACCAATACTTGAAAATATCTTAACATCTTCAAAATTATGGTGTTTTCAAAATACATCTAATCATAAAATTCTAGATACTAACAGTTTGAACCGACATGAAGGTGTGCTGTTAGATTACGCATAGGAAATCCTGATTAATTAGTAAATAAGAATGTATATGTATCTCTAACTGATAATACTTGGTCAAAGTTTCCCGACTGTCTATATCTACTTATGGAGATGTTAAGACATTGTTTTACAACTGTTTATTCGCACACACACACATACACACTGTGTTTAAAGTGTTTAACAAAGGTAGACCAATATTTGTAAGTCTGAGGTCAAATTTTGATCACAACTCATACAATTTTGTTTATTATACTTGTTAATATTTGTTTTATGAATCACGATTGGACAAAGTTTTTAAGAACTAAAGATGTTCCTTTCATATATAAACCTGTTATGTTAATTTCGATTAATTTCCCTGAAGAAGTTCGGACCAGATTTCCGAACGAAACGTTGGGAATACTCATTTCAATATCGCTGAGATTTTACAAATATAGTTTTTTACAAATGTTTAAGAATATTTTTGTTCAAGTACTATTTATCAAATGTCTTACTGTCATACAGGCGAATTTAGTATGATGAAATCATCTTTAGTTCCAAGACTTTTTGTCGCATATATGCAGGTAAGCCATGTTAGTTTAAAGTAAAAACGGTTTGAAGGCGGAATTTTTCTCTGTCTATATACTTATTACGACGAACGATCCACTGAGTAGTGTTACATTCCATCACAATACAATAAAACGTAGACTGCCTCCATCTTTCATCTAAAGGTTATGGTTTGAAGTTGACTATATTTTTAAACAAATTTAAGTAGTCTTTCTAACTTTATTACCCTTTAGGCTTATTCCTTTTATGAGGAATCACTGAATGTCTCTTTGGTTATGTTGCGATAAAGCTTCCCACCTACAACAGTATTTAGGTAGTCGGAGACCTAAGGGTGTTGGTAAGACTTGTTACGGGATTAGCTAGTCACATTATTTAGTTTTGTGCGATACTCACTCTGAAATAAGGTACTGAGAAGAAAAATGATGAAAAAACCCATCTGCGCAGAAGAAAATACCCCACATGAAAAATCTTCATTTCCCTGTGAAATTAATGTATATGAGCTAACAAACTGATAGTCCAAATGCCATCAAAGGCAATTTCTAACCAAATCATATTAGGCTGTCCAATATAAAATATACAACTGGTGAGCTACATTAATGAACAATTGAATGTAAAGTATTCTCACCAATAAAAAGCGACGTACTTTTTTACTCAACAATGGCTCAACACGTTCTTCTATCAAGCTGTCATGAAGACTTGAACGAACAGTTTCATCTACCGAAACTGAAGAAAAGTAATCAAATTAAAAGTAAATTGAGAAACATGAAATAAACTGTCACTCTTAGCAAATCGGTAAAAGTACAAACATGCAATAAACGTGGAGTTGCAGAAATGTTGTTCATTCATATGGTGGAGTGCACGCGTAACACAAAAAAGAGTTATTTTGATACAAACTGAGCATGGGATACATTAGTAGATAGATAAAAATTATCGTGCATGAAAGGCATTTTACTTTATATTATGAAATTTTAACGAGGATACCACTACCATTTCTTTTGGTTATTTATTCTGAAAAAAGTAGTGTTTATTCATTTTCGGAAAATAATTTGAACCATGTGATCTCATACATTCAGACGTACCTGCGCATTATAGTGTAGTGAAGCACAGAATCTCCTTCAGTATCTTAACAAAAATACTTTATAGATATTAAAGCCGAGCTTAGAATTTGTGGATGAATTTCAAGCACCTACTTTTGAACCCATTTAAAATCTATATTCAAGTAATTTGCGACTAATTAGGGGTAAGAAGACTTTTATTGGAAAGATGTGTGGCACTAGCTGTTTCAGACTCTCTTCAGACAAAATATTTTGTGTAATGGTAACTGTGAATGACATACTATACAATCTAAACTGAAACGCAAAATTAGAAAAATCCTAACTTATTTCATGTATTCAGTAATATAATTGGTTCATATGAAAATTTTATAGCTCACCGACAGGACCTTGTCCAGAAATATTCAGTGTTTTTGGACGAAGTGAAATACCTTTTGCATACAGTGTTGACGTGCCCGGAAGTCTTGTTAGATCATGTTCTCCTGATTTGAAAAATTAATATGTGTAATGATAGTAATCAAAACCATGCAATGCACAATATTTTTGTTGTTAAGGTAAACAGTTTTGTTCAAATTTGAGCATTTACATGCGGAAAGAAAGAAAAAAAATAAACAAGCGGTAGAAGAGACAGCATTTTAAAAGCGGTCTGGTCACTTTATTAGTCATTTAAATGTACTTAACAGTATCCATAATAAATGGGACAGGAAATTTAAATTAGTTCGTGCAAATCGGTAAATTTTTTATTTTTCTCAACAACAAAAAAGCAACAAATATTCAGATCCTCTTTCGTTCTAACCAAATGCATATGCACAGCTTATTAAGTGTAATAGCTTTTTCACGACGTTTGGACTGTGACACAGTCTAAGGACAATAATGATCTCTTTATATAAACCTGATAACAATTCATGTGGGTTCTTTAGAGACACGGTTTATGTTTTTAAAGATGTAGTCAAGGCGAAAAATCAGCCAATTAAACTATAGTGATGAGATATGTGATTTCATAGCATGGCTTCTCAACGAAAACGAGAAGGATTGAAGACTTATAGCTTTAGGGTACCAGTAAACTTCATAACTGTTTTCTAGGACTATCTAATGCATATTCCATGGAAAGCTTAGTTCCTGAAATTTCTAATAATAGACTGATATTACATTATTCTTACTCTTGTCATTTGACTTACGATTTCTGACTACTGGTCACTTTCCTGGTTAATGTGGGGCTTATAGTACTCGTATACATTCATTTCAGCAAACTATCTGATGACCTGGTAGAGTACTAAGAGGGTTTAAAATTTGTTTTGCACACATCATCTTAGTGTTTTATTTGTCTGAGTGATTTTAAAATAATACTCCTAATTATTCAATTATTATTTGAAAACAAGATTTATAAAATTTTAATTTTTATATTCAATCTCATTTTCAAATTACTTACCAGTACTGGCGCGCATATACTCAAGTTGATTACATAATAGGTCATATGAACCTGTTCGCAACCAGTTGTCTTCTGAATAACCAACAAATAGAAACAAATATATATGTCATAACACATATCGCAGAACATTTTTACTTCAGTAATGACAAGAAGAATATACACAATATAGATTAAAAACTTTCCTGATGACTCGTGCTTAAAATTAATTTGTAAAAGATAAGATTCTGTACAAGCATAATCTGACTCAACATAGCAGGTGTTTAAAACATTAGCAATATAGTCATGTTACTAGGGTTATCTACATGATAATCTTAAATTTTGACTGAAGTTTCTTTGATTACACTACTTATTCTCAGACTCACTTCAGATTATTCACTCTTCACAGTTACAAAAAGTAAGCTACCTTTTACACCCCACAATTTAGTCTTCATTTGAAATTTACATATAGCAACTAGTGCAATAGTATGAGCGCGGACGCAAAATATATATTCATAATTAAGTGATATTTACAGAGAAAGATAACATTTTAAAACTTCAAAGGTAATTTTGAAGATGAACAGAAATCTGATTTATTTTAAGGTCAACTGACATCGATAAGAGAAAGGTTGTAAACCAAGGTAATTTAGGCGGTATTTTTATCTTAGTTCAGGTGACCCTCCTAGGGATTTTGCTCAGACTAGTTAGGTGTGCAGGTGACCATGTTATCATTTATTAGCTGGATGGGGAATGTAATAGACTTAATTCAAACCCAGTGATTTCATGCTAACCTGATGGCTTTAGAATCTGATGATCATGGGTGATTTTTCTTTCCGAAAAAGTACTTTAGTAGATTTGGACTTGTAAAAGTTATTCTTGTCAAAATATATCAATAACCAATTTCAGTATCAAACACATGGTTGGTTTTACTTAACTGTCAAATCTTTTCTCGTGTTCAGAACACATACTAGTAAAGCAAACCTGATTTAAAACAAGCAGTAAATCAGTAATTTATTTAAATGTTTTTTCATCTGGTCATTTTACATTTGATCATACGTTTATGCAGTAGTAGAAGTATCTGCAGAAACTCATTTATTGTCTAAAACTGGTATTCAGCCTAACTACTGTTATATCTACCCCAGTTATACCATCGAAGCCTCGCAATTAATCGAAGACTTACGGGCTATTCACCACACAACAAAATATGTATATGAAAGTGATTTTTTACACCATCAAATATCAATAGGAACCAAAGTGTCAGTGATACAACTCATATTCTAATTTCCCTGTGTCACTGCTGATCACTTCAGTCTAATAAATCAGTATTCTATCATTTGACGCGTTGAGCGCCTGTATTAGTCATAAAAACAAACCTGATTATCATATATACACTGTTGTTCTTGCATTATTCAAATTCATAGTCATATAAGTCAGCATTATGATCAGTGAGACAAACAGCTACCAATACTCGTATCATATGTTAACTGAGTGTCATATTTCCTCACTTTTAGTCATGTAGCAGGTTTCACTCATAACAATGGGTCCTTACTGAATAAATGAATGTTATCACACTTTCTAAGAGCTGTGCTATCACAGTGTTGAGCCTGAGTACTTCTGGTGACTTTGTGAATAGTTCAAAATGGTCGTAATTAATGACTTTTAGTGATTCTTTAGGGTACGTCAGTTCGTAGAGAAATTAATCTCAAATCAGTTCTATTCAATAGAGAACTTCACAGTTGAATACAGCATTTTACCATTATATAAGGGAAATAATATTACCCTCGATGTTAAGAGTTAAGATGCATATTCTTGGACCCAATGTCTTTCCTAAAACTGCTCAGAGGATGGTGAGCAAAATATTTAGAATAGTGTATCACGAACACTCCACTTCGGGATGTACTTCTCAGCATAAAATATCCTTCAAATTCCAGTCTTCTTCCCCATTAGAAGCTAGCTCTTCTAAGCAGCACTGTCTAAAATGTTTAGAAGTTTGATTTTACTTAATGTGCTAGTCAGGTATGTTTCGGAGTATTCGAAACCCGTTTCACTGTTTGATTTTAGACTCCACATTGACCGTTTACGTACTTTAGTTATAATATTTATAGTACTCATAAGTAAATTGCACCATAATAACATTTTCTCATTAGAGAAATCAGAAATGTCGAGGTGATTATTTGCTTTAAGGCTGGCCTATTTTCCAAAACATTTACTTGAAAGAACGAGAATTAAAAATGTGAAGTGCAATTTTCTGTAAACTCTCACCTGTGCCATCCAGCTTTTGTTTACTTTTCTCTGGATATCGAAACATGGCTGGTGTAGACAAAATTTCAGCTGAATATGAATTCAAAAACGAAACAAAAGACAACCTTTAATGTGAACTATATTCAACAGCAGACTGTTTACAACAATGGAATTTTAAGCAGAACGACTCATATTTAAACAAATAGTATTTTATAAGTGTTATCATGATCAAGTGTAATCTATTGTTTGGCTAAATTAGTGGAACGTGAAAATTTGCTTCTTTTAAACCTAGATTTCTAACAGACTTGATAAGATAGTGTGACAATTATTTTTGAAACTATCACCATACATTAACATGATGTGTTATAAAAAAGCTGGACTTATTCAAACAGTGTTTACTATGAACGGAGATCTTATCAAGCATTTTGTACTCCTGTTTTGTGTTCAGTTTAGATTGGGAGTTAGTAAGAGGATCTGGTTTCATTATAGTACAACATTGGGATTCATAATATATATTGCTGAATACATAAATCTGCCGGTTTGAAATTTCTGAAAATTACTAATTTTGATATCCACTTAATGATAGCACATAGGCCAGCGTGAAAACCTGTAGTGTGAGCATAATTTATCGTTTTCCTTCCTTATCCTTAACCAATATGCACATTCTAACAGATTTCGGTATGTATAACTCTTACATGAAAATACTTTGCTTGCTAACTGATCCATACTCTGACAAAAAAGGAGAAGACTAATTAACGTCCTATAAATAAATAATACTGAAACTAGACCTCAGCGGGGTGATTCCGTTATTTAAAATGGATACTATTAATATCATATTGATAACTTATTTTCTGTTGTATTACACATACAATATGAATAACATACATAACATACATAATTAACTAGTGACTCTTTGTGAAATAACTGACACCAAGTTTGGTGAAGCCTTAAAAGTTAAAGCTATTTAGTACTTGTCTAGCCTAAAAGTGAAAATTCTAAATGATAAACACTTTTGGTAGGATCCAGTGCAGAAATCAAAACTCTCTAGCTCGATCTGAAATCATCACTCTTCTATCAAAGAGTGTGTCATTATACCTTAGGATATTCAGTGCGAATGAACAAACACACACTTACCACCTTCTTCTTCACTGTCTGAAATTAAATGATCAGTCATATGCTCCGCTTTCTCTAAGACTACTGTTCCATTGATTAAGTTCGTATCACCATCTGCATGACCGTCAACGTCTGTTCCGTTCACATTCGACACTGCCCAGTCGCTGACATCAGTTGTGATTGCTTGCAGTGTCTCAAACAAATTTAGATAATGTTGCTTGTGTGCTAGCTGTGCCGCTGTCCATCCTTGCTATAGAAGTATACATAGAAAAACGTTAGTACAAAGGCTACTAAACAAATCACTACTGAGAGATCAACAAATTGAACAGTTTTAAGTGAAAAGCGATCATTATTGTACCTATTTTTATGAGATTTGCATTACTTTACCTTAACGAGATGCAACACCTACCTTATTTCGACAGTTTTGATCAGCTCCCATTTGAATTAGTTTTAATGCTACTTGAAGATGACCTTGTTGTGCTGCTAAATGTAGTGGTGTTGATCCTAGATGAGTACGACTGTTAATCACCTGTGGAAGTTCTTTTTCAGATATCCGTGTAAGAAGTAAACGAAGAGAAGCCAACTGTCCCCTGTATGCAGCCGAGTGTAATGGTGTAAACCCTGCTTCTAAGGTCTTTGTGTCTATGGATGCACCTGAATTCAAGAGATATTCAGACACATTCACTTTGTCTTCTTGTACTGCCAAATGCAGTGGAGTTAACCCATCCTAGAGAGAAAAATATAGCAATGAATAATCTTTCATTTAGTAATTATTATTATTTTATGTATATAAAGATTAGTAACTGATTTTGAACATATTTGAAAATCCCGGAAACAGATGAGGATATTAAATAACTGCGTATCCCAATCTGAAAAATCTCAGCAAATTTCTGAAATAAACCACTTAAATTTGGGAGTCAATGAAAGTCATGTGTTGGATATGAATCTTATTAGCTACATTCCTAAAGTGATCAGATTTGGATACTTCTGATCATTGATGTAAGAATAGAACTTGGGTTAGAGTATAATTCCATTATGGAGAAAAACTTATTTTGATAAAGTCACAATGTTACACGGTAATATTAACTGATGACGTTTAGAGCACAAATTATTGCTCGTAATAATATGATGACCATATTTAAAAAGAGAACAAATCACTACTTTTGGTTTTCATTGACTCCGAAGTCAAAAGTATTGTTCATTGACAATTTCTTCTCCTTATTCATTGAATGCTGAGCGGAAATTTCAGTAGCAGTTGTGTTGTTTTTACAGGATGCGATAACTATCCTTACACTCAAATTCCCTACCTTTCCAAGCTTACTGCCGGCTAGTAAACAAGATGAAGTGTAGAAGTGAATTGTCTGGGAATTGACATCGAATCTACAGTGTGGCTAATGAACACTCTACCACTGAACCATCAACGTAACTTCATAAATTAAATTACCTTAATGGACCAAGTATGTAGTAGAAAATATCAGTGAATGAAATTTATGTTAAACAATTTGATTAGTCAACACTAACCTACCTTGGCTGCACAGTCTACCTGAGCTTTATATTCTTCAACAAGAAGTTTAACTATCTCTATTTGACCATCTTGTGAAGCCAAATGAAGTGGAGTGTACCCACTTCTTGATCCTTTGTCAATCACAGCACCTTTAGATGCTAACAAACGAACTGAGTCTAAATTGTTCCGTTTAGCTGCTAAGTGCAGAGGGGTAAAACCATTTCTTACAGGTCGATTAACATCTCCTCCACATTCGATCAGTTTCTTTAGTACCTTTAAAATATTTTTAAATAAAAAAGACAACAAATAAACTTCATATTGATTTTGTACGGGGATACTGGATACAATATGATGGTTGGCTTACTACGGAAAAATAGTTGTTAAAGTTCACTGAAGTTGGAAGAGAGGAGGGAGAATATCTGCAAACACTATTTCTAAATTGGAACTAATAATTCTCAGACTGTTACTAAGCGACAAAAAATCCGGCCATCGCTAAACTCTTCACTGGGAATTTTTCATTATTCAGTTTATGCTCACTTTTATGTATTAATGGAAATTTACAAAACCTATTATGACCTACAGTGGTTGTATACAGGTTTCCTGTAGTTAATTCCTCTTGTGAAATCAATATGAGATACTTAATGATTTTTTTTAGTTTTTTGGGCGTTGTCTTCCTAAACTTCACTATGATTTAGGCATTACTAAGAAGTAATATTTAATTTACAGAAGAACGCTGGGATTCTACACTTAACATCATGCATAATAAAATACACCTGCTAGTTTAGTCTCAAATATTTTGATAGTATACAGATTAAAAGTATCGCGTTTCTCAGTAATCATACGGAAAATGAAGAGGTCTAATCTTTTCCAATAAGAACGTGAAAGCTTTTCTGATGTATTTTACTTCTTAAATACACGAATCAAAATATTGAGGATTCCATTTGATACTCCACCAATATGAACAAGGCACTTGAGCTGACAGTATCTTCTTCTGTTTCATTCTTCAGAGACCTTACCGTGAGAAACGTAGCTTTATAATACATTTCGAAGATTTTAGTTATTAAGTGAAATTTATGAATTAATAATTACGATAATAACAATAACTTCAATGATCACACAGGTAGTGTTTGTTCACAAATAAGTTCACAAAGCAGCTTTTCATACAGTGGTAATTATTTCATTTCGGTAATATTTCGAGCTTCATTCACATGTTTCCCGAGCAATGGTAGCGATAAGGTTGTTGTAAGCAATACTTGAGTATAGATATTGTAGCAGTTGAATTTGACCGAAATCTTATATATTTAAAGCTTATTATGGATGGAATGAATACGTAAACAGTGTCAAAATAAATATGATAAGAAATATGTATGAAAGCATGTGAAATAATAAAGTCCTGAAGAGACTGGATCAAGCGAGTGATAGTGGTAAAATCAGTGTACTGGGTTATTACAACTTTAGTTGTTTATCAAAGATAGACTTTAAATCCCGCTAAAATGTTTGGTGAAATAAGATTATTTATTTATTTTTATTTTGATTACAGCTTGATTTCACATAGTATTTTTGGTACAGGTATGGAATTTTCAGCATCCGATATCGGTATCCCAAATTTTGCAGGCCGACCATAGATATCAGGTGTGTGTCGGCAGGGTTTCAAACCCGGGACCACGTGCATGATCGGGGAGAGTCATAACCGCTGTGCCACCGACGCATAAATAGTCTTTAGAGCGCTGCACCTTAGATTACGATTGGAGGAATGAAATGAAATTAAGCTTGTTGTATTTAATGGTAAGTTTCACAGCCAAAAAAGTGATGCGTTGCCTAGTTATTCAAAACGCTTAAATAAACACAGAAACGATTTCTTTTTTATTTCATCTTCTCAGTAATAATGATGCTACTTTGTTTGAGTTTTGTCCATCCTCAGGTTTATTATGGCGTTTTAATTCCTGATTGTAATCTTATTGATTTCTTTCCCACCCATTTATCATGAATACACGAATGTACAGCCTAGTTGATGACTTCGTCGAAAAAAAGTTTTCTTTGCTTCAACCGTTTTTTTAATAATTCATCTATAGACATTGGTTGGTCGGAAAAGTATAAATGGAGACTAACCATTGGCTGTATGGTTAACGAAAAATCACTATCATCAATTTATATATATAATAGATCATGTTAGCAGATCAGAGACCATGTCTCGATTTCACTAGATTTTAGGGGTACTTTAATACTTTGTCTAACATCTAAAAGCTAAACAGCTTTATACACATAATTATGCAGTTGGATTGGACTTTAAAATACGAGTGAAATAAATTCCTTTCATACTGTAACGACAGAAGACATGGGCCAGGCAACAGATTGTTTATTGAGAAAATCAAGAGATATTTATAGATTTTTATATACATTATTATGCGTAATTTTAGCAGAGAAGCAACGTCTTCTGATTGGTTTTTCACGCTGAAGATTATTTTGTACTGCTTGTGATTGTTGCTTACAAGTTATCTATATTCAAGTGTTGGTTTGTAGGGATTTGACTGACTACAGGATTTCATCATGAGCTGACACTGGTTAGAGAACCATTGTGAAACCTGGGAGTACTGGATATCTGTTTCGTCCTAATTTGGGACTCTTTGGTAGTACGCATCCATCGGGGTTCGAGCCTGGTTACAAGGCGAGCCACTGAGACCTGATCCAATGGCCCATGGATTCTAACTTCTGCCAATTCACGACATAGCGCGACCCCTGGTCAATGTCTTCGGCGAGTATTTGTCCTCACACCCGACCTGCTGAACCCTACTAGGCACGGCTGGTTATGTATAATTTTACGAATCTTATCTGAACACGCTAAGCCTGATGTGATTGGTTGTTGAGTTCCTCAAGGTTAGGCTTTGTTCTTGTTTTTATCTAATGACCTAGGGGGATCCTAGTGGCAAATCCATCTATTTGCCTATAGATTTCGTCGTTAAATCCGAAGTAAATGTTGCAAGTCCATCCGGTTCTACAACGCTGAGCATGTACGGCTTACCTGAGGTGCATAAACAAGATGTTCTCCTCCACCCATTACTAGATATGACTCCTTCATTCCATTTCCAAGTGATTGGTCGAGACTCCTGGATCAATGAATAGAAAGCTCTCGAACAAATTTGATGTTGTTGATTTAGTTAAAAATGTCACATAAGAGAATGATCAGCATAGGTGTCCTTTTGCTCTTCACCAACGTTCCACCAACAGAGACCATTTGTTTTCTTATTACTTTAATCAATCGAATAACACTGTATACGGATTCATTATCTAAAGGAGTTATTACTCCTATGTACTTTCAACTTTTACTTCAGACTTACCAAGGAAATCTACTGTCAAATGAATGGTGCAGCTTTTGAACTTTATGACCTCTCTTGGCTAACTGTATTATAGTACGCCAAGAACACACATCAGTAACAGTCAGAAACCCTCATGTCTATAGGAAATATATCGGTGATACTTTCATTATTTGCGATGAGAATTTGAATCTCGGAAACTTACTCCGAACCTCCGAAAATACCACTTTGTTGAAAAGGCTCAAAACATATTAATGAAATCATTCCAACCTCGAAAACTGAGTGCGAGAACTAATTTAAATACTTTCCTTTTATTTAGTTGACTGATAAAATTTAGGATGAATGTGAACAAGTTCTGCGTGACTCTTAAACAAATCTATTCCTTTTATTCAGTACTCGCATAAAACGGTTAATAATTTTTTTAGCAGTAGTAGGAACATTCTAACTTATGCAACATGGCAACCAAGAATTTACTCAAATAATGTCACGGTGAATAACCGGCTTTAGTGTACAGTTCCATTATTAGTGAAACCTTAGGGCAGAAATGTTTGATTCACTTATTAAAGCAGGGATTTCAGATTTCAGCACTTATCGAAATGTTAGTTTTTAATTTTCTAATCTTATAAAGTAAAAATCACATAGATGAGAATGAATACACTGTAGAACAAAGTATACATGTTACAAACCTGATTATTATTATAGTACGTTGCTACATGTACAGGTGTGAAACCATTACAACCAGATGCATTTGGATCAGACTTGGCATTGTTTAGCAACAGGTCAGTTATCCTGCTTGAGCCATATTTTGCTGCTAAATGTAACGGCGTAAATCCTTTCTATAAAAGTAGAATTAAAATTTCAAATGTATTAATCACACAAGTATTAATAACACCCTCTTTTCGCAATTTATTTATCAAAAGTGTTAACTTACAGACTTATGTCAACATCAAGATATTCATACTCTGTCAAATTGCACTGTAAATTTTATACCATCTAAGTACGAGTTCAGAAAAAGCCCTTTGGTAATTTTAACTATTTGACAACGTGTGACTCATGTGCGCCTTTTATTAAAGCTTGTATTATGCATAATCTTGATAAGTTCTACACATGCATCTCCTAAATTGTATTGTATTGTCTACTAGTTGGTAAATTTTCCCACCTTTCTGTAACTCTGACAGATATATTTTAATGAATAGATTGAAATGTTTTCATCGACTTCCACAGAATGTTCACTTTGATGTCGAGTATTCTGGACTCTTATAAAATATGATGGTGTAACGGCAGAAGCGAGAGAGTGTATCATTTGCTTGCTCTGACATCAAATCTACCTCTCTGAAACTTCATGCTTTTATGCCGATGAACATTTCTTTATATACTGCCGATAAATAAGTAGCACCCACCGCAATGGAACTACACCTCAGCTTTTAGAATTCAACATACCGAAAGAATCCAACTGAATATCCTCCAATTTTTATGAACTTTTTAAGTTTAAAACCAACATGTTCAGAAAAACAACTTTGAATGTCTTGAGGCCGAAATAATATATATCAATAACATTGATACGAATCACGTTAAAATTACGGAAATCATGTAAAATCACCTTTGTTTTCACCTCTGTATTAGCTCCATGTTCAATTAACATCTGAACAATATCTTGTGAGTCTTCTTTAGTAGCAATATGCAGTGCCGAATAGTTATCTTTGGTCATTATATTAATATCAGCACCAGCTTTTAGCAATAATTCAACTATTGGAGAGTAATTTGTGCGTACAGCTACATGTAGAGGTGTTTGGTTATCCTTTGAAAAGGAAATGAGTAAAGACAGACAGGGAGATTTCAAATTTGTTTAACAGTTTTCAGAATAATTTAGAATTCATTAAACATCATAATTATGTTCGTCAATCGATATCTATTTCTCTGTTGTGTAAGTGAAAGACGCTAATTTTGTCTGAATGGCATTCTTGAAGCCATTATGCATTCATGAGAATTCCTTTTCATGCATATAATATGGTGAATTCATCTTCATGTATGATACCACGGGTAACATTGATATGAAAATTTAACTGGGTTTATATTAACGTATCAGATTATTACATATTACACAAGTTAAGACTACTAAAACATATGACCAGGATATATTTCAGAAAAATGAAAAGAGTATGCAGAAATGAGTGCTGTGCAACTCTGTTTAGTTAATTTTAAATGCAGAAGTTTTCAACTAAAATAGGTTAAGAATTTCATTAGGCTTTTAGGAATTGAGGTTGAATGCTAGATGGTCACTACAAAAATTGCCAAATGAGAAAGCTATGATTCTCTTCATATTATCACATTCTTTTCCTGTAAACTTTTTGGACGTGATAAGGCGTATATCTTAGTTTTCCCAAAGCGTATAAACTTTTAAATTAAAGGTACATTACACTGTTATTTACTTTTGATTAACTTACTCTTGTGCGGCAATCTAAATTTGCTTGATATCCAAGTAGTATTTTGACTGTCTCCAGTTGTCGATTTCTAACCGCTAAGTGTAATGCAGTTTCATTACGCAAAGTTGTTTGGTTCACATTTGTACCATGTTGTAAAAGGAAGGAAACAATATCTCCGCAACCGACAAATGAAGCAACATGTAACGGTGTCAATCCGGTCTATTAGTAAAAATTATATCAGTAGAAAAGTAAATCATCAGTATTTAGCTCGAGATAACAACCGTCACTAAGGCTTACTAATGAACATTACAGTTGAACATTATCGCAGAAGTGCTCAAAGGGAGTTAAAATTCAAAAACTTCTGCATATCTCCTGAATAATAGAGTCAATTTAGTATTTAAAATATAGAAGCTTTGAGGGGAAATGCAAAACTATTTTGAAAGGGTAAGTATCTGTCATCTGTCGTGGAAAGTTACATCAGCGTATTCATTTTAATGTTAAATCTCAATGACTTTTCATTTAATAAACAAACAAAAATTGAGATTTGTTAAGCACAAAGGAATATCACGTAGGGATATGCAAACAGATTTGAATACGTATGTTAAAAACCAATTGTAACTGCTCAACAAATAGCCTTGTGAGAAACTAGTGTGTTAATGAAAAACACGTACCACTCTCACGTTTTGATTCACCAGTAAAATGAATAAGACAGTGGTTTCGTGTAATTATGTATTTGAAGTTAAAAAGTCACAGGTTTTAGCTTTGAGATCGTCGTTGGTAGTTGGTATTAGGATATCATTATCCAGAAATTGAACTAAACTTGTATTCCCTTTTGAAGTGAAACTCATGTTGATAATTAATGGATAATCCCCATCCAGGCATTAATGAAAACAAAACACGTAGTTCAGAAAATACTCTCTTTTAGGCGAATTCATTTTCTTAGCTGTACAATCACAAATATATATGGGTTATTTTATATATATGTGTATATTAAGTTTGTCAAACAAAAATATAATTCGTTATGGTTACTTTAACTAAACAGGTGAAAATTGGTAAGTTTTGGGTGGAATTACTTAACAAATAAACGGTCAAGAAAATTGGGTGGTAATGAAACTAGTGATAATCTATACAGTCGCGAATGACCTATCAAAGGCATAACGGTTTCGTCTTCTTTGTATCGCTGAAGCTCTGGCCATTCACATAAAAAACCGGATTTGTGCATGGAAAAAAAATTACTCAACCACTTCTACTATCATGGCAACAATTTTGTTGATTTTCGATGACTGGGATTTTTGTTTACTTGTTTCGCTAACTGCTTATAACTCTCATATTCATTTATAACTCTTAAGTAATTTCGTATTCTCTACTTTGTTCCTATGTGTATCATGAGTACAATTCAATCATCAAACTATTCCTATTACATATATATATATTTTCAACAACTGTTTGTGACAACTCATCACCTTTGTTATTACATTAGTTTCATTAATACCCAATTTTCTTGACCGTTTATTTGTTAAGTAATTCCACCCAAAACTTACCAATTTTCACCTGTTTAGTTAAAGTAACCATAACGAATTATATTTTTGTTTGACAAACTTAATATACACATATATATATAAAATAACCCATATATATTTGTGATTGTACAGCTAAGAAAATGAATTCGCCTAAAAGAGAGTATTCTCTGAACTGTTTTCATGTTGATAAGTTCGTTGATATAATGCTTTTAACAAGTACGAATATAAGTGAATAGGAGAACTGGCACTTGAATGTAATCCAAGGATAACTCATTCTCATCCATTCACAATCTCCTCAGGTAAACAGATACTTCTGAGACTTATAACTTACATATATGTCTTAATAATCATATAAGTTATTTTCATGATTGTCACCGTTAGAAGAGTATTTCAATGCAATTGCAAAAATAATTCGACGACCAAAAGTAAAGTCATTAAAATTAAGAACAAGTCATTTACCAAGTAGGAAGTCTGTTGAAAAATGCACGACTACTTAAAGATGTGTCACTGATCTTATTCAACATTTCGGAATACGTGTGTCAGTATTTCCATAAGTGAACGTGTGAACATAGAATTTTGCAGGATCTTATCCGAAGAAATTTGGGGGAACCATTTTTCTTATTATTGCTTTTCTAATTGTTTACTCGGTTAATCAATAAGGGACTTTTTCTGCGCAGCAAACAGCTATTATTTAAGTGCCTTCTAAATTCAAGTTCACTGTTGTCCCTGGGTCCATCGACAACAGCGGACTTAATGACGCCATTGCTAGAGAAGGTGGAGAAAGAGGGCAAAATACCTGAGGATTGGAAGAAAGGATACTTATTCAAACTACCAAAGAAAGGAGACTTAAATCAATGCAAGAACTGGCGCGGAATTATGCTCCTGTCCATCCCAAGCAAAATACTAAGCCGAATCATCCTGGAGAGAATCAAACAAGCCCTGGATGAAAAACTTCGACCGGAACAAGCTGGATTTAGGAGAATGAAGTCATGTATTGATCAAATCGCCACACTATGGATCATCATTGAACAAAGCTTGGAATGGCAGTCACCTCTCTATCTCAACTCCATCGACTTTGTAAAGGCCTTCGACAGAGTTGATCGAGAGGTGATTCGACAACTACTTCGCTACTACGGGTCCCATCGACAATTATACATCTCATCCAGCAGTTATACGACAATGCTGCATGTCAAGTAATCCACAACGGGAAACTTGCGGAAGCCTTCGAAGTGAGGACGGGAGTGAGACAAGGCTGTCTACTATCGCCAATGATCTTCCTGATTGCAATTGATTGGATAATGCGACAGACAACGGGCGATGAGGAAACAGGCATAAAATGGACTCACACAAAGAACTTGGAGTATCTGGACTTCGCCGATGATATATGTCTGATTTCCCACAAACTGAAAGATATGCAAGTGATGAAAAGCAACAAGCTAGCAGAGGAAGCATCAAAGATAGGACCTCAAGTGAACATAGATAAAACAGAGGTGATGAAGATTCCTGGCCAACACCAACAGCAACAACAACAACAGACAATAATCAGCATAAATGGGAGGAATCTGAAAGAAACAACCTCCTTTACCTACCTGAGAAACATCGTTTCAACCACAGGTGGAACTGACGAGGATATAAAAGCCAGAATTGGAAAAGCAAGACAAGCTTTCATTACTCTCAAGTCTCTGTGGAGGTCAACAGCACTCACCATCAAAAACAAAATCCGGATTTTCAACTCCAATGTGAAGTCAGTCAGTGCTACTATACGATTGGATCAGAGACTTGGCCAGCGCGTCATAAAGAGCATCTCAAACAAACTTCAGACCTTCATTAACAGTTGTCTTCACTCAATACTCAAGATCAGATGGCCGGCCAGAAAAGATCAGCAATAGTGAGGGATCTCTGGCAATGAGCGAACCAACCAGGAACCGATTGTGAAACGAATAGGCGGGAAGAAATGGAGATGGATTGGTCATACGCTGAGGAAACCATCAAGCGACATCACTAGACAAGCCATTGCTCGAGTGGAACCCGAAAGGGAAGCGACAAGTTGGTCGTCAGTGCAAGGGTGACTTGGAGGAGGTCATGCGAAGAGGAGATGAAAGCATATGGGCAGACTTGGAGCGGGGTGAAAAAGTTGTCAGAAAACAGAAGGCAATGGAGGTGCGCAGCTGAAGCCCTATGTTTCTCTAGGAATTAAAGGGTATAATAATAATAAATTCACTTTCATTCATTTATTTCATAATTGGCACTGTCTTCTATTACATCATGTTTTATTTTCTCCACTGATTGTTTGTATCAGTACAAGTACGTTTCTTTAGCCGTTTAAATAAGCCTCAAGTAAGTGTCTGTTTTTAGGATATTCATAAGCCGTATTATTACACTGTTTCTCGCTATTTGGTCTCAAGTAAATTATTTATCACAATTTAGTTGCTCAGAGCCTTGTCATATAAATTTGAGAAATTAACTCGAAATCATTTGGTTAGCAATTCCATAATATTGAAAGGTGAAAATTGCATTTAGAGGGCTTCAGTTACGTGTGAGTTTATTTCTGCAACTAATCTAATCATTACTTTCTTATATTCCCATAGAGGTAAAAGGGCTTCTCCAGAGGTGTTCATTGTATTCTTTCCGAGTTTTCCCAGAAAACTAGAAACTCAAATGGTCTTTTTTACTGAAAAATTTGTAAGGAGTAATTATGATCACTGATACGTTAAAATAGTTAGTTTCAAGTATAAAATATCTAAATGATGATACTCAGCGATGCTGAAAATATTCAAAATAAATATAACCTGGGAGTACTGACTTTTAAAATGACCTCATTATAAATAACCCTTTTTGAAGCTTGCGATAGTCACAAATGAAGTGAAACGAACTCCAACAACTGACAGACTAACAACAATATAAAGCATTTTATTACCTCTGTAGCAGCTTCAAGAAGAGCTCCATGTTTCAAAAGTAGTGAGGCCATTTCAACTCTTGACTTCTTGCATGCAATATGAAGCGCAGTGAATCCATTCTAAAAGTCGCAAAACAGAATAGAAGATTTCTAAGTACTGATATATATGTTACGCCGTCTTTTAACAAAGAAAATGAGAAGGAAATCAGAAAACCAGTGTTAATAAATGTTCCTTCCAACGATATTCGATAGGCAGTTCAAATTTGTTCAGAAAATGTTATTCAACTTGGTGTAAATTAAAGTCAGTACTCTACTTCCAAACATGGGGATTATGGTCATGATAAAACGGTTTTAATGACCTTACACTTTAAGTTAAAAGGTGTTTGTACACATTAAATCACTGGTATTTGTTCCTGAACAGATTTACTTGCTTATCAAACAGTAATCCATAACATGATGAGAATAGCTCTCTAATGTTCCTATTCCTTATTTCTTGAGACATGTTTAGAAAAAGAAGAAACAATATTGGGTTGAGAATTTATTTAGTCAGGTCGGTGATACGCAGTCTTTCGATGAAGACTGAAAGGATTATGGTACATTATGGACTGATTTATATCACAAGTTATCCCAACATGTCAGAGCCTCTAAAATCTGAACTTCTCTAGCAAGAACACCTGTTGGCATGAAAATAATTAAGAAACGAAGATCAAACTGCGAAATGTTGATACACTGAGAGTTAACAGACGATTCAAATGAATAAGTAACTGAATATACTTGTATAGATGGCTTCAGAAGGTAAAAACTGTTTTGTATTTTTGCAGCCATTTTAATAAAGAATAATTCCATAAATCGGTGCAACCTTATGGAAAAAGAGTATCTGGAGTGCATGTTTATTCACTTAGTTTCCTTTAACAAGTTCTGTATGAACTGTCATTTCTAAGTTAGGTGAAAAAAAATATTAAAAATTTTAAATAGATGATATGCAGGATATATCTGAACACAATCTTCAGTTTAAGTGACGCCAAAAACTAAATAACTTCCTGAAAATGAACTGTGGTTCACTCTTAATAAATACTAACTGATACTCCTTGGGTATCAAAACGTACTCCTGGACCTTTTACAATTGGTTTCCACTCAAATATAACGCTTTTCTATAAGGAGACAAAGGAGAAATTTCATAATGGTTGGACAGCATTGTGTCACAGGATCTGCTGTCAGTTAATATTTTATCTGTCGATCCTGTACAAAGAGAAAATATCATGATTTAAATCTGGCTTAAAGTTTTTTACATTATGTAAACACTGTCCGGAATAAAGTTATTATTATTGTCATTATTGTCTTTATAGTTCATTTATTCCTCTATTTTCAGTTGAAAATGACTTTCTCAGTAAGTTCTGTATTTACATTAAAGGACAGAAAAGAAAAGGAGGAGAACCATACTTTCACTTCTTTTTTCATACTTATTTTCGGCTTTTTAATCAATCTGTTGAATTACACAATTCTTCAACAATTAAATTTTATCAGTTAGTTATGGAAAGTTATTACCTATCTGATCAAATCTCCCCACAGTTAAAACTGGTTTATTTCGGAGTAATATTGTATGACTTAAAGTTGAAAAAAATAGTTACCATTGGGTTCAATTTCACTGACTGAATAACAAACTGAACCTGATTTCTTTATCACAATAAGGACTGAGTGCAAACACAGCTAGAATTCCCCATGACATAGTGAAACAATTAATTGATATTTCTCCAATTCATTTCAATTCTTACTTTATGCCATATTTTATTCTACCTACCTCAGCCTGAGTAGTGTCATTAGTCCTCACACAATAAATACGGCTGGTAGTTGAGTATTGGGTAATTAAGTTACAGCCAAATGTCCAACTTAATATCTCATTACTAATTGTCTGTCCATAGATTAAGGTTTTTATAGCAGTTTCTAACACAGTTTACAGAAAAAAGAGAAAACTCCAGGGTACATTAGAAAGCTATTCCATATTTTTGGACATCTTAGTAACAGGCATTTGAAAGTTCTGAATCTAGAGGTATAGGGCTCTTCCTCAGCTATACAACTATTTAGCCATTAGGTTTGATATACTGCTCAGTTTCTCCAATTTTCTTCGATTGTTGCTATATCTCCTTAATTATCTCAAGTGATCAGAAGCTCATTTTGAGGCTTATCATTTCTCGATGCTGTAATTTCGAAAATGGTAACTAATGTGCATAAGACTGATACAACGGTGAGAATTTTTATGCTAAATGAATTCAAAGTGGTTCTTATCACAAATCGGAGTCAGATAGAGTAAAGTTTTGTGTTTATTTCTCATGGGAAGTAATTTGAGAGAGAAAACTAATTCCACTGAATAGAGTCTTTGATCCAGTTTTTACACTTGTACATTTATGTTATAGGACGATAACTGGAGGTGGATCGAAAACCTAAACAGAAATAGAATCTAGACGAATATCTTGACGTTTTCAATGGGTTGGTGTCCAGCTGCATTCTCAGGTGTTCCAAAAGTTAATACGATTTACCTTCCTTCAAAATCATTTTAATACCATCTAGTGGCAAACCTTAAGAAAGACAGAAAACATAATAATAACTCATTTGCTACACTGTCTGAAAAAATAATTAAATAACATTATCATTTGAGAGAAGTTATGGTGCTGATCAGCTAAAGGAGACTATAAGTGAAAGACAAAAAGCAAGAGAGCACTAAATCTGTCAAATTCAAGCTACTCCCCTGCTGACAGACATTAGGAAAGATTCAACTGTAGCATTTTATAATTACACATTGTTCTTCCTTCTTTTCTTCTTTTTTTACTCAACTAAAAAGCTTACTGCTGTGACATTTGTTGAAAATATGTGGGATTAGTGTGTGGGGCGGATATCAAGACAAATTCAGTTGGACTGATGTTTAGTGCCTTGCTTTTGTTAAGTAGTTGTAGTAGTAGTAGTATCAATAAGCTCACTAGAAAAGTGTGAATCACAGTGAGACTAACCAAAAGCAATCTTTGTAATGGAGACGAAAATCATTATAAATCACCATCCTTGTAAGGCTACCATTAAAGTGAAAAGAAATTAGATATAATACTAAATAAATATTTGAAATAAACAAAAATTGGATAAAGATAATTCAGGCTTATGATGATCTATGTCAGAAAGTTTCCAGTAATATTCCGAGAAAAAAAAAATACGTACTTCATCTTTGAAATATAACAAAACGATTTTGGCTTACACTTACTGCTTTAGGAGATAACACTTTATTTCAGTAGTTATAAACTATCTTTAATCTATTGTTAAACTCACCAAAGCTTTCGCATTAACATCACAGTGTGAATTCAGTAAGGTTCGTGCAACATTCACATTCCCACAATGAGCTGCAACGTGTAAAGGTGTAAGATAATCCTGTAGTGAAAAAGTAAAGATAAAGGAAAACACCAATTAAATTAAGTTTTCAAATTTATCCTACTATTGATTACTCAGTAATTTCATCAATGTTCAAAAGTCAAGCTGATCTGCTCTTTTAGGACGTATATACTACGTAATATCTTTCTATAAATATCATTACACAGTTTAAAATTAATTCAAAAATTGTATCTTACATCTAAGCGGCCTTTTACTACCAGGTTACCTGTTAAAATTTCTATCTACTTGGTGTGAACTAAAAGATGGGAGAATAATATTAACAATAAACAATTGACCAGTATGTTTGTTGACGATTCAGGAAAATAAAATATTTGATGCTGGTGCTACTGTAATAAAAAAAGGTCAGGTCAAGCGTTTCTAAAATGCTGGATATTAAACTCTGTGTAACTCACGCCCAATCCTTTGTTCTTTTGTTTCCTGTTGATTATTAATGTTCCAGTGATTTTTTATCACTTAACTAATTACTTGTCACTCCTCTCGATTAAGTAAAGATTATCTACTGTTTTCACACATTGTTATTTCCCATGCACTTTGACTCATTTTATCACCTAGTGACAATAATCTCTAACATCTGTTGTCAATTAATATTGTATATATACTAACCCTTAGAGTGAAGTTAGGAAAGGAGATTGCTTCGCTGACTTATGTATTCCTAATATTTCATTTGCTTAGATCAGTAAGTCCATTGATTCATAGTCACAAAGCACTCATTTTCGTGTTTGTCTTTTTTTTTTTTGATTTCGGTGATGCATAATAAATCGATGAGCTAATCTGATCGAAAACTAGAATGAAATGGATGTTCAATTTATCTTAATTTTCAGTAGTTCTCCAGTTAGTGTTAACCCGTTGTGAAGGTTACTTGAAAGTCATCCTGTTTCCAGTCAACCAAATAAATGAATAGCTCTCCAGAGTAACATTTCGTATCTACTTTCACAAGTGTTGTTGGATTTATTTAATCTATGAAAAATCTCACTACTGTTAATCTGAAAGTGACAATCATGTTATCTCTGTTTATGTCACACTTACTTGTCTCCTTATAAGATAACAGGTGGTCATGCAAGATAAAAGGAATTTTATTACGAAACTTAGTTCTATAATCACTCAGTTTCATCATTATGAGAAAGTGAATGGAAGAACTCTTGAGTGAATTATGCCTGCAGATTCAATCTAATTCACTGTGAGAAGTATATATATATATATATAAAGAGAGATGTAAATGAAAAAAATACTATTAATAATCTTTTCATAATGAATACTTTGATTGAATGAAATTACAGAAGACCTATAAATGTCTTTTTCTGCAGAATTTTGAGGAGAATGCGAATGAGCAATCTGCTGTGAAAGTTTCCTTTGTATTACCAGCGCTATACTTTTAGACCACGTTGATTGTTATTATAAGATTCAAGTGACTTCCTTTTATCTTTGGATTTACAATTTGTTCACTGATTTTGGAAGCCTATATATGCTAATGAGAAATTTTATAACTCTTTATTTTTTCAAATAAACATATTTAGAAAAATAAATTGAGCCGAATAATGTTTTGGTCTTGATGAGTTCGAAAAGTCCGAAGTAATTAATTACTTTTGCGAAATTTCAAAAACTCAAGTAGAAGAAGCAGTGCAATGCATATCCAAACTATTACATTCGATAGCTCATGTAAATGAACGCAGTGGACAACTGTCTTCACTTACTGGAAGTAGCTTACAGATATATAGGTGACAGGATTTGGGTCAGAAATGACTTCAAAATTTTGCGTAGAATATGTCACAGACGCATACTAAAGTTAATATCAATTTGTGTCGCTGTCTTTAAGATAGATTTTTATGATGACCAGAAATCTAAGTTTTACCTGTATGTTCATACAGGTAACTGAAAGGTGAGGTGGAGAGTAATCATTTCATGTGGAGCACGTGACATTTATTTGGTGTCCCATGTAAGCAATTAAAAATTTTGACCGTATCAGTTAAACGTTAATTTTATTGTTTCGGCAAATGTATTCCGTAATATTTAACAGTTGAGATAATGGAGATCTTTCAACTTATTAAGTAGACAACGTCGACTAAGTAGATGAAGTGAAGGAACTTGGAGATTTTAGGGACCAAAATTATACTATTCAAAGTGCATCCACTAGGACATATCTTTTATCATTCTTATATGAAAATTGCTCTTACGACTTGATCACTTAATGATATCAGTTAGAGAAGCATTGAAAACCAGTGGGGAGTACTGGACAGCTGCTGTTTCATCCTAGTTTGTGAATCATCGGAAGTACACACCCACTGGGATTCGAACCCAGCACCTTCCGGTTACAAGGCGAGCTCGTATACCATTCAGCCTCCTGGAATTCTGGTGAGAAGTCGTGACCAGTGAGGTCCAATTAGATGTCACGTGTGTGGATGGATGTCGCACCGACGACAATGGTTGGGGTCTCGCTAAATCACGAATTGGTAGAAGTTAGAATTCATGAGCCATTGAATCGGCTCCCAGTGGCTGAATGGTATACGAGCTCGCCTTGTAACCGGAAGGTGCTGGGTTCGAATCCCAGTGGGTGTGTACTTCCGATGATTCACAAACTAGGATGAAACAGCAGCTGTCCAGTACTCCCCACTGGTTTTCAATGCTTCTCTAACTGATATCAATCCGTGATCAACTCGTGAAAACATAACTAACCCTTACAAACCAAACTATAGAAAAATAATCTGATGCTCGCTAGTGACTTGATACAGGATGGAGTTTCCTGCAGTTCTAGTGAGAAGTCGTGACCAGTGAGGTCCAATTAGATGTCACGTGTGTGGATGGATGTCGCACCGACGACAATGGTTGGGGTCTCGCTAAATCACGAATTGGTAGAAGTTAGAATTCATGAGCCATTGAATCGGCTCCCAGTGGCTGAATGGTATACGAGCTCGCCTTGTAACCGGAAGGTGCTGGGTTCGAATCCCAGTGGGTGTGTACTTCCGATGATTCACAAACTAGGATGAAACAGCAGCTGTCCAGTACTCCCCACTGGTTTTCAATGCTTCTCTAACTGATATCAATCCGTGATCAACTCGTGAAAACATAACTAACCCTTACAAACCAAACTATAGAAAAATAATCTGATGCTCGCTAGTGACTTGATACAGGATGGAGTTTCCTGCAGTTCTAGTGAGAAGTCGTGACCAGTGAGGTCCAATTAGATGTCACGTGTGTGGATGGATGTCGCACCGACGACAATGGTTGGGGTCTCGCTAAATCACGAATTGGTAGAAGTTAGAATTCATGAGCCATTGAATCGGCTCCCAGTGGCTGAATGGTATACGAGCTCGCCTTGTAACCGGAAGGTGCTGGGTTCGAATCCCAGTGGGTGTGTACTTCCGATGATTCACAAACTAGGATGAAACAGCAGCTGTCCAGTACTCCCCACTGGTTTTCAATGCTTCTCTAACTGATATCAATCCGTGATCAACTCGTGAAAACATAACTAACCTTTACAAACCAAACTATAGAAAAGTGTTCACTACATTTTAGAGGAATTTGGGTTCTCAATGTTTTTTCCGTCTTTCATTGATTCGTAATGTAAATAAACTAAAATTTTCATGTCAGCATTAAGACCGGGAATACTGTTCACTCTTTTTTCTAAAGACTGAAAGAACCTAAGGTTAGATTTGAAGGACATATTACAGGCGTATGCATAAACAGAAAATGAATTTGTTACCATGGTAGCAGATTGAAGTTCGTTGCTAGGATAATTTTACGGTAAACAAGTCTTACATGATCAAACTTCATCAAGTGAAACCTTGCCCTGTCGACTGATGCATATGCAGTCGATATTTTTAAATATTTAAAAGTAGTTAATGTTTTAATTTAGATAGCATTATTAGAAGACGGAGATTTTCTGAAATATGTGATGTATTCGCGCTATACATTTCGAACAATCTGATCACACATTTACTTGTCAAGTCGATATTTATGAAAAAGTTAAATTAAACAAAGTGACAAAAAAGATTTAGGAATGATTAGCATAACGTTTGGTAATCCAATCAAATAAGGATTACCAAGGTAGGTTGAGAGTAATGATACACAGGGGGGTGAAGTTTATGAATAGCTATATCCTCGGCGTGTTTCAATAAGCGCACTTGACCATTTTTATAAATGACCTTAAAGGCTGAGTTAACACCAATCTTATGGTTCATCTCGATTAAGTCTTAAGCTATAGACGAAGTTGGTAGTCTGACACCTGCATCTATTGGTTTATCACAATTAATTTTTTTCAAATCATTTCGTGATATCCTCTCCCACCCTCACATGCTAAGCACAATTACTTCTCCTCATGTATGTGTGTCCACACACACACACACGCAAATCGGCAAATAATGTGGGTGTGACATAATCACTTGTGCATTTTTGAGGTTTGCATTGAAGCATATTTTTAGCTTTTTCGACAATTACAAGCTGGGCTGCATAAGAGGTTCTACAGATGACCGAATTCAACCTTTGTCTCAAAATCCCACATTTTATTTCCCCGTTATATATATGGCTGTTTAATGAACACATTTTTCTTAGGGGCGATATAGATTGTAGGTTTAGAGACTAATTGACCTCCACACCTGCTTAAAAATTTATCAATATTTCGTTTTCTTTGTCTATAACATCAACCGTGAAAATACATTGAATCCTCTTAAATATTTGATAGTGTGAAATATTCCCATATTATGAATTAAAAGTCAATCTGAACGAAGAATATTCTTTTCAATAATTTCTCCTCTTCAGGTTCTTACAATTATAAAATATAATATTTGTGGTCGTTACAATAAAGATAGCCAGGTATGCGGCGGATACATTTTTTAACGTAGAATAACAGATTAGTTATGGGGTGTCAAAATAAATAGTCATATTTGTGTGACAAACGTGCTAGGCTGAAATCGATTAGAAATATTGTAAAACGGGAGACAATAGTGGTGGTTAATCATAATGGAATTGTAGAGTGTGGGGTAGGA